GAACCCATTTTCATTTCCCACTTCAGCAAAGTGTTCTGATTTGGGATAACACTTTTCCAATTGGATTTCCATGGAATCACTAATTTATAGAAGTGATAGCCATGCTTAACCACCATGTTTAAAGGAACCCTTTTCACCAGGCAAGTTCTCTAAAAAGGCCGAACTGCGACCAACCTGCTTTGTACAGGGTCTGCAGTGTAATCGGGGCCAGAACAGCCGATGATCATTAGATACCTGGACTTGGAAAAATTGCCTTAATTCCTCTGAGCTGATATATTTTCAGCCAGGAAGGTGGTAACTTCAAAGGAGCAGACTGGGTTTGCAGCAAGGCTAGAGCCTGCTCACAGGCAAACAGCTATTTGTGGGTGCCTAGGGTATGGCCAGGGAGGAGGGCCAGGTCTGGCTTTCTAGCTGATCCAAACCATAGCATGAAGAACTTGCTTGTGGGTTGACTTCCCCAGCCACTTTGCATTAGTCAGAACAAAGGAAACTGGCCTCTCGAATGTCCTAACACATTTGTCTCTTCTAGCCCTGGCACAAAAACTGCTTCCGATGTGCCAAGTGTGGGAAGAGTCTTGAATCTACAACTCTGACTGAGAAAGAAGGTGAAATCTATTGTAAAGGTAAAATTCATTTGTTTTGGCTATTTGTGGCATCTGATAGTGTCACTACTTGACAATTAGACACAGAGCTGTGTATGACAGTGATTACATCCTCTATTCCTATGTGCAACTCCCACAGGGCTGGGAATTGGGCTGGGCAGTAAAGTGCTCATGTAGCACATTCACAAGGCAAACCCTGTCCTCAGCACCACTTCCCACAGTCTTTTGACTTCCCCTTTAAGCAAAGCCTATAAGCATACGAAGACTGGACTCAGTCCACTTAGCTGGACTCAGAACACTTTGTATCTTAAACTGACCTCTGGCAGAGTCTACAGTCTGGTTTTAAATGTATGGGCATTGGTAGGAAGCGGTGGGAGTTAATGGACTCTGGCTAATTCTCCCTCCTCTTTGTAGGGTGCTACGCAAAGAACTTTGGGCCCAAGGGATTTGGCTATGGTCAAGGAGCAGGGGCCCTTGTTCATGCTCAGTGATGGTGTAAACCCAGAATGAAGCAACGCACACAGAATCGTCACTACCAAAACACAGATGACCTTACAGCACTCACTACTGTGAAACTTCACCAGCATTCGCCACTGTGTGTCACACCTCTACTGCGCATGTGGGCTGGATAAGACAACACTGTGCTCACTCACTTTTCACTAGCATTTAAGAGCATTTCTTTTACATTGGGAATAAAGTTTTGGCTTGATTTGGGTACTGTCTCTTAGCTAACCTTTTCAGGAACTGTTGTGATTTGGGTAGTGTAGCTTAGTTAACCTTTGGATGAGCTGTTGTGATTCTAGGTAGTGGGAAATCATTTGGTTCCTTCCTCCAGTGAAGAGCACCCTCCGGATAAAAAAACGTGTTAAAATGACAGTCAGTTAGTTCCTTTACACACTAGGCTAACATTTGCACTGTGGGAGTTGAGGAAGACTTTAAAAAAATAATTTTTATTTCTGAGAGTTTCATACATCTATACAGCAAAATGGGACCACTCCTAATGCCATGGCTTTTGTTTTGAGGTACCCTCAAAACATCATCCCTTGAGGAGCTATTGACCAGGAGTAGCTGCTTGGGGTGGGTGTGGGCTATCATTCTCTTTTGAAGGTGTGGCCACTAGCAGGTTCCCATGCTCACACCCCATACATACGGGCAGATCTTTTTATCTGTCAGGATTTCCCAACTCATGTTTGCCAGGCATCTCCATCTCAGCTCCTCAGAGCTGGCAGTCAGCACTGCAGCTCCCCTTCCCTCTTGCCCTGTTAGAGTCTGCTGGTGGTTACCCTTCTAGGTTGGGACAGTTCCCCAAAATGGAGATGGAAACTGTCTGCATCAGTATCACCAGTATATTCGCCGAGGACTAGGGAGATGGCTCAGTGAGTGCACAAGCGTAAGTATGTTTGGGTCCTCAACATCCAGATAGACGCTATTGTGGTGGTATATATCTTTAACACTGGGGCCTGGGGGGAGGGGGTCCTTGGAGCTCACTGACCAGCTGAATTAATGAGCTCCAGGTTCAGAGACCCTGACTCAAAAATAAGGTGATCAAGCCAAACCCCTGACATCAACCTCTGGCCTCCACACACAGAGAGGGAGAAAAAATTCCACTGCCTTAGGACAAAGCTGCCCGCATGGGGTAGCAAGGTCTCCATCCATTTCCCACAGGCAGGACTATAATAAGTAAAGCATGGCTGGTGCTTCAGCTAGTGCACTTGACACAGAGAGAAGGCTACTGCCAAACTGAGCAATGCTGTACCCTTGCCTAACAAATTCTAAAATCAACACCAAAAAAAATAAGCTTCTCCAAGTAACTTAATTCCATAGCAAAGCTCAAAATGTCTATAATACGAAAATCTAGCAGTAATAAAAGAAATTACTAGGCATGAAAAGAAGGGGGAACACCATTAAAACATGCCGTCTGTAGTGAGGACAGAAAGAACCAAAAGTCAACCAAACCAGCAAGGATGTGAGGGAAAAACACAGGTGAGGAGGCTATGGAAGTACCTGTATATTTTCAGAGTAGAGAAAAGCGCAACTAAACTTCTAAATCAAGATGTGACAGTAAGAGAACTACAAAGTACAAGATGAAAATATTGATTAAAGGTAATGGGAGATTAAGCCCTGCAGGAAAAGTTATCAGATGGCAATAGAAACTACAAAAACAGAAAAGGGCATTTCAACAGTGGAAGTTCAGGACCTATAAACAGGACTTGCTACCCTAAGTGAGTAGCAGGCACTGCCGAACTGAAACTTCTTGAGAAGGGAAAAGAGAAAAATATTTAAAGAATGACTGAAAACTTTCCAAATTTGATAAAACTGTAAACTGACAGGACCCAGCACCCGTGGATTTAGTAAAACTATAAATCTATATCTAAGCCACAATAAAAGTACTAAAATGTCATCTATTAAAACTTCATCAACAAAGGTGTGGTGATACATATTTAAAATCCCTGTCTTGGGAAGCGGAAGTGGGTGGATTCCAAGTTCATGGCCAGTCTGGGCAACAAAGCAAAAGCTCTTCAATTCTAGTAATGTGAAATGACAAATATAAACACTACTGAGTAAAGTCTACTCAGTGAAACAAATGCCCAATTCAGAGGCCAGAGCTTTATAAGGCCAGTTCTGGCTTCTTTGAGTTCACGACGGAGACCAACACCGGGTGTTCTACTTGCAACTACAGATTTTCTATTTTAAAGTCACAGATATATTTAACAAACATGTAAGCACTTTGTGAAGCTAAGGGCGATTTTCTAACAAGCCCTGTCCTGGGATGTACCTTTCTCAGATAACTATAAACTAAACCAGATACCCACATCATGGAAAAGGACACAAACAAGTGACTAAAGAAGGAGAGTGCATGGCATGAAAGTGGAGTGCAAATCATTTGTCACTCTAGATAGCACTGGAGCACTTCTGTTTCATATTATTAAGTAATAAAGAGTCAGTCCAACCTGAAACCACTCCTCATTTACCACCAGCCTCTGAAATGAGACTCATCATAATTTTGCCTTTTAAATTTGCAAAGAGGCTTTCTTTGCCATGCCTAGTATCTGAAGTGGCCAGGATCAAAGTTTTGTAGGTATAATTTTACAATATTTTATTATAAACCTTTAGACATAATTATTCAAAATCCAGATTCATACACTTCCTGAGGTCCTCAGTAACTCCACAGAACCCAAGATAGACTAAGAAACAAACGTATCTTTTTACTGACAAAGAATCAATCTCTCTGTCTCTCTCATACACACACACACACACACACAAACACACACACACACACACACACAGAAATTTTAGAATACCACCAGTTTTACTCACTTATGCAAATCCCTTTGAAATCCTGTAGCACCTGACTCCAGACTGATCAAGACAGAAATACCATCTGTTCACATCAAAGTTTTCTTTAAAGTGAATTGAGCAAACACCATATTTAAGTCAATATTTATTTTGATTAATATTTTACAAAATTCTGACAGGTTTAATTTATGTAAGGAGGACTAATTTATTAAACACTTTACAAGTTTTTCTTTCCACAGAGTAACACAGTAAGTAGCAAAATAATACTTGGCACAGTTATAAATAAAGGAAATATAAAATAAAAATATCCATAGCTTAAGTAGGATGCGTTTTTAAGCCTAGTATTTAAAATAAACTCCTACAAACAACAAAAGGATGAGAAAACTCCGAAGAATTCCCATTCAGAGCTGAGAATCCAGTTGAGCAGTAAGAAGTGCCCTCAGAGGGCTGCCTCACACAGGCTGAGAGCTGGGTTAAACTGCTCCACACAAACCTACAAAGAAACGACAGATGCTGCCAGACCATCCGACAGCTCTGTTACAGATGATGGAGACTATGAAATGGTTAGAACTAAAAGCATCTCCTTGCAAATACTTGCCATGTAACTACACATCTACAGGGTTGTCTGCTTCACTGAGCAGCATCTTTCACACAGAAAGAATATTGTACCACGAAGAAAGGACATGGTAACAACATTCTTATTCAAACAGAGAACCACCATAGTCTTTAACGGTTGGTAAAAATGTATCTGATAAAAATTGCAACTGAGTCTTCATGTGAAGTGACTCGAAATACAAAATTAAAACAAATCCTAGTTTTATAAATAACTTTTGAATTTAAAAATTACCTAAAATTTCCCCCCATTATTAGCCAAAACTAGCAGAGACATTTGTACAGTTGACCATTTTTTTTTACATTCTATGACAAAATGGTACAATGCTATTACCACCCCACACCCATCTTTTCCCTTTTCAAAAATAAAGTACATATGCCAATTCTAATATTTAAAACCCTCAAATACAATAAGGGTCATTTGGAGGGGGTGACTTATGGTCAAAGAAATTACTATAAAATGGTAGTACCTGGAAATACTGAACATCAACTATATACACCTTCACTGCTCCTCTTCCTAAGGCAAGGGGCGGGTATACCACTAGATTGCTTTAATACCTGTAACCAGCATTTACAGGGAATACTAATTTTACCTAGCACTGGACATGCAGTGTAACTTGCAGGGTATAGTGCCTATTAACAGCAATATTGAACACCACTAGAAGCTCATTAATCTCTCCCTTTTCTTTTTGGTTGGGCAAAATGAAATGAGCAGCTTTAAAAACACTAATACACATAGACACAGAGAAAACTATTTGATAAATTATTTATATACACATACACATTCTTTACACTGGTCTAGGATCTGTCTCAGTCTGCCCCTCCCCCATCCCCTCCCACAGGGTGCTCGAACCACAGTTTGCTACAGCATTTAAGAGGACTAAACCAAGTCTCACTGTAAACAGTATCATGGAAGCAGTGACGTTATTCATGAGGGTATGGAAATGCTGCAACAGAACTTGATCAGTGCATCACATTGAACAGTAGACTCTGAGACTTTCAGAAAGTATTACCAACTTCAAAACACATTCAACATTGGAAAAATTATAACAACCCTGGGGTTTAAATTCTACTTTCTGATAGGTCATTAAAAAAAATAATATTCCATTAGCTTTTCATGTATTCACATGTGCTATATACAGAGATCATGCTCCATCTTTAGCTTAAACTCCATTATTTTGCCTACAATTTATTTTTCAGCTCAGAATTTAAAAAGAAGCATATCCACTTATCTCTATTAATAAGAATTTTGCATTAGCTTATTTGTTTTGCCTCTTGTTGAAAATCCACCTCAACTCTTAAAAAGAAAATTGGGCTGTTTTGCACATGAAATTAAATCCTAATTTATGCTTCACTGGACAGTATCTGCTAGTATACATTCTATGCAGTATAACATGCACTTAGTAGGGCTTTAAATTTCAACAAAATATTATGACTTAGTATACTCATGCAAGTGCTTTATTATCAGACCAGGAGACCTCAGAGCAAGGTTATTAGAAATTATTTCACTGACCTAGAAGTAAACCAGCATTGCAACAGCTGGTGGCAACAGAACAGCGAGCACATCTCCGTGAACATTATTTCCCTGTGCCTTTGAGAACAAAGTAAAGTAGATCTCTAATAAAACCACATGATTTTCATCACAGTATTTACATGTACATCTAAAAATGTACATAATACTAGTCATCAATTTAAGACAATTCTCCTGAAATTAGATGCAATACTCTTAAGTACTGCACAATACAATTTAGCCGTATAACATAAATTTAATTTTAGTTATAACATTTATCCTTGGTATACCATCTC